ATCTTTGCTATGCTTGAGCCCATCATTGCAGGCACTGTATCAACCCATTTTGTTGAGGGTCTTCCCCTTTTTCACTGACCCTCTTCTTTACCAAGTATAATGTCCTTCTCTAGGGACTGGGCCCTTCTGACAGCATGATTAAAGTATGTGAGACGAAGTCTGGCTGGTCTCATTTTCTAAGGTGCATTCCAATTGTACTTATTCCGAAACAGATTTATTTGTTCTTCTGGCAGTCCATAGCATTTTTCAGTATTCTTTACCAACACAATTCAAATGCACCAATTCTTTCTCATTCTTTCATTTTTTCATGCTTTCACATACATATGAGGCTATTGAAAATACCATGATTTGGGTCAGGGGCACCTTAGTCTTCAAAGTGACATCTTTGCTCTTTAACATTTTAGAGTGGTCTTTTACAGCAGGTTTGCCCACTGTGATACAATGTCTGACTTCTTGACTGTTGCTTCCATGGGCGTTGATTGTGGATCCAAGTACAATGAAATCCCTGACAGTTTCAATCTTTTCTACATTTATTGTGATGTTGCTTACTGGTCCAGTTGTGAGGATTTTTTATTTTCTTTATGTTGAGGTATAATTCATACTGAAGACAGTAGGCTGATCATCAGTAATTTCTTCAAGTCATCTTCACTTTCAGCAAGCAAGATTGTATCATCTGCATATTGCAGGTTGCTAATGATTATTCCTCCAATCTGATGCCACAATTTTCTTCGTATAGCCCAGCTTCTTCGATGATTTGCTCAGTATATAAATCGATTAAATATGGTGAAAGGATACAACCCTGATGCATACCTTTTCTATGTTAAACCATGCAATATCCTCTTGTTCTGTTCAAATGACTGCCTCTTGGTCTATGTACAGGTTGCTCATGAGCACAAGTAAATGTTCTGAAATTCCCATTTTTCACAATGTTATCCATAATTTGTTATGATCCACAGAATTGAGTGCCTTTGCATAGTCAATAAAATGCAGGTAGAAATCTTTGTAGAATTCTCTGCTCTCAGCCAAGATCCATCTGACATCAGCAATGATTCCTTCATTCCATGTCCTCTTCTGAGTATGGCTTGCATTTCTGGAAGTTCCCTGTCAATATACTGCTGCAACCATTTTTAAATTATCTTAAGCAAAATTTTCCTTGCTTGTGATATTAATGATACTGTTTGATAATTTCTGCATTCTGTTGGATCACCTTTCTTTGGAATGCACACAAATATAGATCACTTCCAATAATTGGCCATGTAGCTGTCTTCCAGATTTCCTGGCAAGGAGAGGCAACCACCTCCAGAGCTGTAGCTGTGTGTCCAAACATCTCAATGGGTATTCAGTCAATTCCCGGAGCCTTGTTTTTCGCCAATTCCTTCAGTGCAGCTTAGACTTCTTCCTTCAATACCATTGATTCTTGATCATATGCTATCTCCTATGATGATTAAATGTCAACCAGTTCTTTTTAGTACAGTCATTCTGTGTATTCTTTCATCTTCTGATGCTTCCTGCATTGTTCAATATTTTGCCCGTACAAAAAAAAAAAACTCACTGCCCTCGGGTTGATTCCAACTCTTAGTGATGCCCTTTGGGTTTCTGAGCCAATAAATCTTTATGGAAGTAGATTGCCCAGTCTTCATTCTGTGGAGTTTCTGGTGAGTTTGAACCACCAGCTGTCTGGTTAGCAGTCAAGTGCCTTAGGCACTATGCCACCAGAGCTCCTACTTTTGTTCACAGAATCTTTCAATATTGCATTTCAAGGCTTGACTATGTTCTTCACTTCTTTCAGCTTGATAAATGCCGAGTGTGTTCTCCCCTTTTGGTTTTCTAATTCCAGGTCTTTGCACGTTTCATTATAATACTTTGTCTTCTTGAGCTGCCCTTTGAAATCTTTTGTTCAGTCTCTTCCATTTCAACATTTCTTCCTTTTGCTCTAGCTTCTTTCTGCTTAAGAGCAAGTTTCAGAGTTTTTTCTGACATCCATTTTGGTCTTTTCTTCCTTTCTTGTCTTTTTAACCACCTTTTACTTTATTCATGTATGTTCATGAATATTGATGTCCCCCAACTTGTCTGGTCTTTGGGCACTGGTGTTCAATGTGATAAATCTATTCTTCAGATGGTCTCTATATTTAGGTAGGATATACTCAACATCATATTTTGGCTCTTGTGGTCTTGCTTTAATATTCTTTAGTTTCAACTTAAACTTGCATGTGAGCAATTGATGGTCTGTTTCACAGTCAGCTCCTGCCTTGTTTTGACTGATGATATTGAGCATCTCCATCACCTCTTTCCACAGATGTAGTCAATTTGATTTCTCTGCATTCCATCTGGTGAGAGCCCATGTGTCCAGGTGCCATTTATGTTGTTGAAAAAAAGGTATTTGCCATGAATAAGTTGTTGTTCTTACAAAATCTATCATGCAATCTCTAGTGTCATTTCTATCACCAAGGCCATATTTTCCAACCACTGATGCTTCTTTGAGAAGCTCTGGTGGCATAGTGCCTAAGGCATTTGACTGCTAACCAGAAGGCTGGTGGTTCAAACCCACCAACCACTCCTTGGAAGGAATGTTGGGCAATCTACTTCCATAGTGATA